CTCACAGTTGGCTGTCCACAAAAAACATTTATTAGCTAGCATGTACAAAAGAGATCACATGAACCTGTTTGTGAAGCTCAATAAAGTCCCAGCTCTTGGTCCTTTCAGGCACTCATATGTAGCAATACATTTAGCATTAGTGGGCTTAGACTCAGAATTACCAGGTCAGTGCTGGAGCACAGGGCTAAATGGAGCTCCTAGACAACGTGGGCGCTCCGGAAGGTGTAGGATCCTGTGTTTGCAGATTCGCACACCCCATTCATGCAAAGGAGGGAGTGCACGTACAGTATTTCTGGCCAAGCCACATTAATTTGGACACCACTTACTTTTTACACTCCATAGACTGCGAACACATTCTGGGGGTGACTGCAGTGGAGATAAGGGAAGCATTGCCTTGCAGAACGCCATCCTGGCTCAGGGCCTCGGAGAGTTCCTCATTTAGGTTTAACTACTGCTGGACTGTGTATTCCTGATTTGGGAACTTTAAAAGTTAACTAACAGCCTCTGCATTTTAGATTAGAATTAACTTCAAAAATTAACAGATAGTTGCTAGATTGAAATTAGCCAAGACCCTTGACCCACAGTATCCTGATGCATCTTAAAGTATAAACTATATAACATCAATGAACTCTTGGGTTCTTTGGTCAGTCAACAAGCATAGTTGCCAGTCCCCTCCTATAAATAGTGTATGTTAGTGCTGCTGACAGCAACAGATTCTGTTCAGAGGGTTTGTTTACCTGAACACTCTCCTGTCATAGTTTAAAATATTTTCCATTCATTACTCCCTTCCTGTGTTCACCATTGGTTGTAATTGTTCTCTTATTGTCTTGTCTTCAATGCAAGGGTCCAGACTTCTTCTACCACCATTATTACCTCTTATGGTTTATATGAAAACTATATAATGGTCTTTTCACTTATTTGTGGGGTCTATCAATTATATAGTATTACTTGATTCTCCAAGTCCCTGTATGTTCAGTTTCTTTGTGGAAGAAGTTTGACTATTTGCCCAACATTTCTGCCTTTCCTCCTCCCTAACACAGAAACTCCAGTGCCCAGCAGTTACTTACGAACATAAAGTGATACAATGTTTATAGAATGAATGCATGACATTCCACCTTATAAAAGGGAAAATCTTATCCTTGAGTACATAGTACTAAAGTAAATGAGACAGAATTATTAAACCAAATTAATTTAGACCCTATCTTGTTGAAGTAAATTCCATTGTAAAAAATACTTAGGGGTGAGGAATTAATCTTTATTGTGCTCAAGACTATGATAAATCTTTTACATACAACATTTCATTTGACCTTGACAGTATCACTCGGAGATAGATGCTGTTGTCTCTTTTTCGCCTCTGAGGAAAAAGGAAGTGAAATCATTTGACTAATGTCATCCAGTGGGTAAAGCTGCAGCCAGCTTTGAGTCCAGACCTGAGCTAACATCATGCAAATCTTCATCACACCCATTGCCAAAAATGCTAGAAATCTTGATCTGATTCACTTATTTTCAATTAATAGTTGCTGCAGTGAAAGTTTAGTACATCTAATGTATAGGGAGCTCATTGTAATTTGGATGTTATAGCATGAGCTTCTTATATTGGCACCAAACACTGTGTTATCCACTCATTTCTTAATTTGTCTATTCAATAATAATTTTTTGAGCTCCTACTCCAACCATGCTATGACAGACCTATATATGGAATGATATACATATGCAATTTTGCCAGGAAGGCAAATTGGCCTTCGTGAAGAATCGTAGCTGTCAACAGGTTCCTGGGATCAATAAACATATTGATCCTTGCACAGTTGGGATAATAGTTATAAGAAACTTTGTCCAGGCTCTCTCTTTGGATATTTAAGGACTTCAATTCAGCTTTGCTAGATGAAAAGCTTTAATCTTACAGCCATTTCAGGTTAGTAGAAGATTGTATTTGACCTTAGCATCTGTAATTCCTTCTCTAATTTTTTTATCTTTGGTTTTAAAGAATTACAAGAAGACAACTACAACCATTTTGTTTAATTTGAGTAGTAAGACAATCATCAGTTGAGTCTCAGATTGACATTTGATAAATGAAAAGTCATTGCACTTTTTGGTGTCTGGCTATAAGCATAAGGTATAATTCACACGTAAGTTATATATTGACATCTTGGGAAGATTGAAAATATTCCTTATATGAGTGGTAAAAGATAGAAAAAGAAACTCCGTAATGGTAAGTATGAAAATCATAGAGGTCAAACCATACCAAAAATGTTTCCATTTTGAAATGATAGTTTAAGGGCAAAATATATGTAGCAATTAAAGCTAAGCTACTCAGCATGGCATACCACATACCTTTCTCATTAGATTGTATACCCAAGATAAGCCTCCTGATATGTCATGTGAGCTGCTCTGCCTCAGTATACCCATCTAAACTATGGGTTTCAGTCTCATTGTCCCCAAGAGAGCACCACAATGGTAAAGTGACTTCTAGTTAGCATACACCAGAGACACAGTGAAAAGCAGTATTACACTAATCCAGAAGACAAGTGAGTAGTATTGATCTTTTTTTCTTTTCTTCTGTTCTTGCAAATGTTTTGCTGGTGGTTCAGTATAAAGAGACGTTGACATATAACCTCTTCTAATGTCCCAAGGAAATTAGTATTTTTGGACCATGGGATCCTCCTCACCTTTCTCCTTGTTCCCATGCTGCATCCTGACCCTCTGTAAGCCTTTGTCCTGAACACTGATGTCTAGATCTCTCCCTCTGATGTACTACTCAGGGGGCAGCTCATGCTCAGACATTTCCCAGCCTCCTTTCTCTATCAAATTTTCACATTCACCATCCATTTCCACAGACTCCTATTCCCTGCTAGGAAACTCTACAATTTATGACCAATAGGCAGTAACACCAGTGAAACTGTCAGGTATCCAATGTTTTACACATCTCAGGAAACGTAATCTATTAATGTAATTTACATGCGCACATCTCTAGAGAACCATTACTATGTGGAAATGCCTATCATATTGCCAAGTTAGGGAAGAGGGTTTAATCAGAAGCAGAAGGGGACTTCCATACCCCCATCAGCTTTCAGATCACACAGTATAAACAGAATCATGTAGTAGAAAGAATATAGGATTTGAAATCACAACTCCTTGTTGAAAGTTCCAACTTTATTTACAAATGTCACTGAGCTTCTATTATCTAATCCATGAAAGGGGAAATGATGCTTATCTTTCATGGTTATGTGGATACAGCTCAAAAAGATGTTATTTGTGAAAGTACTTTTGAACCTAAGAGCATTAAAACATGTTATAGTTACACTTGGCCACATATGTTATTGTTATAGTAATTGAAAAAGAGACCCCCTCAAGTCAACTCTTCAAGGACATATAATAGGTTATATATATTTCAAAAACTACAGGAGGACTGGCAGCTAGCAAGGGGCTTGAGTATGGAAGAGAGGGTCACAAACTTTTATGCACCAGCCTCTTCATTGATTCTTTTTAAAAAAATATGTTTTATTGATTCTTTACAGAGAGGAAGGGAGAGGGACAGAGAGTTAGAAACATCGATGAGAGAGAAACATCAATCAGCTGCCTCCTGCACACCCCCCACTGGGGATGTGCCCGCAATCAAGGTACATGCCCTTGACTGGAATTGAACCTGGGACCCTTGAGTCCACAGGCCGATGCTCTATCCAGTGAGCCAAACCGGTTAGGGCATTCATTAATTCTTTATAGGTCATTGATCCTTCTTTCTCCTCATCTTAGCCTTAAGTCCATCAGACTGGAACAGTAAGGAGGAAGAAGTCAAGTGCTTGAACAAGGAATACTGACTGTGCTGGCCTGTTTTCCTGAGCTCTGTGGCACAATTATAAAAGTCTTGTTGCAAAATATTTAAAAACTAGAGGCCTATTGCATGAAGAGATTCGTGCAATAGGCCTTCCCTTCCCTTGGCTGCTGGCACCAGTTTTCCTCTGGCACCCGGGACCCAGGCCTTCGCTCTGGCTGGGCTCTGGCCAGATACTGCTCCCCCCACCCCCCGAGCCGTCGGGCTTCGCTGCTCCGCTGATCCCAGAGCCGTGAGGCCTCGCGTCTCTGCCCATCCTGGGGCCGTGAAGCCTCGCTGTTCGGCAGGCTTTGGGTACGTTTGGCTTCGCTCCACCGCTTGGAGCCTAGTATGCAAATTAACTGCCATCTTTGTTGGTGGTTAATTTGCATATCACCATGATTAGCCAATGGGAAGCATAGAGAAGTACGGTCAATTACCCTTTTTGTCTTTTATTAGATAGGATGTTTCATTTGAGTAGGTGTGAGAGACATTCTATTGTTAGAAGTTAGTAGAGGGTGGTGGCTGGTAGATGCTAAAGCTTGGATCTTATCCTGAATGTAAGAAGGCTGCTCAGAAAAGAGAGCATTATAATGCCAGGAAAACTTGAACAATTTCAGTGTAGTGCCTATATAATATGTAACTGCATATGGACTCGAGAAGAGGGACTCACACTTTCATCTGAGGTCTACACAAGTGTGTAACTCTCTTAAGAAGGACAATTCCAGTAGTCCAGTAACAAAAAATTGTCCAGTCCCTTTTGAATTTTGGTTTTGTTTTAGAGACTTCAAGATCCTCTACTTATTTGGTACAGGAACAAAACTCCATCTGAATCTCTTCTTCCTGAATACCCCTTCTGTTCCCTGTCTCAGCATCTTCTCTTGCATTCTTTTGGGCCTCTCTAAGGCACACACACACACACACACACACACACACACACACACACACGTATATAAAAACATTACATAATATGTAATAAAATATATAATATACCCACACACTTAAATGTGTAACTTTAAATATTAGCTCTGTAATGGGTTATAAAGTAATGTTGTGAGAGTATTTCTATGTCAAAAAGTAATTCAAATAGGAGTATAATAATTTGGTCATCTTTATTTAGGGGGAAAATTAAATCTCAATCCTCTTCCTCATTGCTGTTTGTTTGTTCTGTCAAGAAATGAAGGTAGGTAGATAAGGGAGTCAAGATAAATTTTAACGGAGCTTGTGAATACAAATATGCACAATAAAAAACTCAGGTGGGGTAATTGGTCTCTCTCTTCCTGGGCAGGTATTGGCATCATAAAACCAGGCTTACTGTAGAGAGAAAAAATCTATATCATAAAAGGTCTGTGGTCATGACACCGTAACGGTGGAACAACCAAACCATTGGTCACCAGAAGGTGCATGGAGCACCTCTCGTGGGCCGGGACTCGTGGCTTGGCAGGGCTGGTGGGGCTTGCGTGGGGCTGGCGGGGCTGGCACAGTGAAGGCAGGTCCCATGGCTCACGCAAGGGTAGGTCTTGGTCTCTTGTGATTTTGTGCGCTGAGCTTCTAGTAAATAATAAAAGTAAGCACTTTTCAGGGTCAATCCACAAATTTTCAGTTCTCAATTCTTGATCAACAAATACCTGAGCACTGATCCAGAAAAGATGAAAAATAATGTGATTCTAAGGGGGCAAAGGAAATAGGGGCTTGACTTGAACTGCTTTGAAGGGCTGCCTGGTATTTCCAGTGCTGTCTGTATGAAACCCAGTTACTGCAGCAAACAGGAAAATGGATCATTGGGTGGACAATGGCACTTACGATCCCATCTTGACTTCCCAGTGGAGCATCCCTCTGGACACAGGAAGGAATAGATGTTACTTATGGCCATGGACTGGGCTGCCTCTGGTGCATCGTTTACTCCTGCAGTGTCTTTCTTTTCTAATCTATAAAATATAAATAAGTAATTTTTTCTCTTGTAAGCAGCCCAGGGCAGTTTTTGCTTAGGTTTATAAATATACATTTTTAAAGCATTCTGGAACTTAATTAGGAATGTGTATCTTAGATCTGTGATAAATACTTGTAATTACATCTTAAGGGAGCTATCCACTTTATTTGTTAAAGACATTTCTTTAAATTACACTAAAGGTATTAATTATTGACCACATTCCGTAAACAAGCAAAAATAAATGATGTGGGACTAAAGATGTAAAACAGGCCTTTCAAATCCAGGCAGGATTCTCCAAATCGCTATATGGAACAAGAAAGAAAATCTTCACCTAGAAGAGTTATTATAAGAATTGAGAAACATATGTCACATGAAGAAATACATATTAAGAATACAACAAATTGTGGTCATCCATTTATTTATTTATTCACTTATCCATTTATCTATTAGGGCACCCAGTTCCAACCAATATTCTGGCATTAATCTTATTGGTATATCTAACTTTAATTTCTTCCCAATTTTCTATACTACACCTGATTTATCAGCCTTTTTAAATGGTGAAAGTTTCTTGCCTGGAACTTAAAGTTCCTGTTAATTTTTTTCTAAGCATATTATTAAGTAACACAAAATTAAGAGCTGTGCAATGTTACCCAATGGAATCATTCACAAAAGTCTGGTGCTTATGAGGAAACCTGGGCATGTTTAGCAGCAATAAAGCAAAAGCTGGCAACTTATTTTGTTGATGTGAATGATATAAAACAAGAGGCAAAATGATCAGGAAAAGATAAAATGGAATTGGAAGGGATTAAGGGGATTTACCATGACTTAACTGTTCCTATAAGCGTAGTAAGGAGACAGTGAAGTTGCATCAATTTTGATATTTGAAAATTGGAGCTCAGTTTGAGCTTTCAGATATCTCCTATGTTTCATTTTCATTATTTGTTGATATTCTCTCAGGCTGGACTGAGGATTTGATACTGAATATTTAGTAAGGAAGCTCCTCATTTACACTTATTGTCTCAGAGCCAGAAACAAAGTGCTGTGATTTCAAATTCTAAATCTTCTGTAGTTGGCCACCTTTTTTTAAAAAAATAGAAACCCACCTCTGTCTACAGAAGGATTTTCTTTTGTGTTACAGCAGAGCTTCATGCTTCTTTCACCTTTTCCAGAGATTGAAGTGGGAAGAGAGAATGGCGTGAGGCGTGCAATTTTAGTATCTATTATATCTGAAGACAAAGCATTTGAAGACTTTTAACATCCTTCTGTTTTTCTTCACATCATTAGGCTGAGAGAATAAAAGCACCTGCTTGCATCAGACACAAAAGGGGCTGCTATAAAGTCCACTAGACATGCATAAAAAGGGAAAAGGAGGAAGAAAGAAAATACACGATGCTACTCACCTAGTTCATGCACTGAGTCACAGTCCAGTTTAATGACTGGACTTACAGCAAGGATTTAATTTCATAGTTCACTCAGAAATGTCTAATCCTGGAAGGGCAGTTTCAAAATGGGAAAAGAAGGTTAATTGCCTGGAGGTTAATGTGTCAATTACATATAATTCTCAGATATCAATGGCCCCAAATAAAGATAGGGTGGCCAGGGTTTGTTTTGCTAACATGATGAACCCTGTGTGTTTTCCGTTCTCTCAGTCTTCTTAAGCATAGAGACCTGGGTAGTTCTCTTGTCCAACAAGAGCATTTCCAGGTTAGGTACCTAAAAGGTGTTCAGGGGCCATCGGTGGATTGTTTGAATGAATAACGGTGCCACATTCGCTGATGTAGACACACATACTGAAACAGTATCTACCCAAGAAGGGACAACAGAAGATAAACAACAGCAGGGACGCATAAGAACCAGGATTTTTTAAATTAGGAAGGGATTTGAAGGCAATATTGCCTACAATTTAGAAGAGTAACATTTCTATGAAAGCAGCCATGTGGCAAAGTCAGAGGAGTCTACTAGATCAGTACTCTCTCAAGTGGTCAAGGAGGATGGCAGAAGCTAACTACGATGCTCACTGATCTTGCATTACTCTTGTCTGCTCAGTGGTGGAGAATGCCACCCCAAATTTGACAATGAAAGCCAGAGGAGTCTGGGGGAATGAAATGGCATCACTTTCCTTGGTTGTCATCTTTAAAAATCTGAAGGGACTGCAGTATGAAACTGACCCACTAATAAAGCTGTATCATTTACCTTTATGAGAATATCTTCAAAGTGCTGCCAGCTGGCTAATGGCTAACCTATTTTTTCAATATGAGGAGAGAGATCTTGGGAATTCACATTGGGTATAAGCAGAATTCACATTTCTTTAAGCAGGAAAAAATAAAAAAGACTATCCAGGCAGCTCATTTGGTATAGTTTTAATAAATTAAGCTATGTCTTTCAAACCTGCTGAATTTCCTTGAAAGTATGAATTGAATATTTGCAGTTGGGAAAACTAGTCGTTGGAAGTTTGATATGATATTCCCACCAGGCTCAGAGTCAGGGGTCCTTCAGATAAGTTGAGGGATAGTAGATAAAAGATCAGATCCCAGGACAATCCCCAAAACCAGTTGAATAAGCAAATATGTAAATAAAGAGCATGGCAATCAGTTTGAACAGTGAGATGACTTTTAGAGACCTAGAAATGATCTAAAAACACATTTATTAATAATTCAGAAACAATGCAAATAGATGGCACATATTTGCCAACACCAATAAGAAGTTTGTAGGATTATAAGAAACCCTTAAAGGACTCAATTAAGCTTGGTAATGGGGTAAACACAGCAGCAGATGATGCGCAGTAGAGAGGAAGATGAAGGTAATATACAATGAACAATTTGAAGTCCTGCATTTAATGAGTTCTGATTAGCCTTGCCTCACATGAAGAGAGATTCCCAGCTAGTGTCATAAACAGGGTCGGGAGGATCTCGGCAAACATCCTAGGTCAAGGAGTTACTCACCACATTTGCAAACAGTGGATAGAATTTATCAAACCAGAGAGCATGGTTATAAAGCTGTTTTTGAACTGGCTTATAGGTAAGATTCCATTATAATGAGTTTTCTCTGGTACTTCAATAACTGAACCTCCTAGTTAAGGTCGAATGCAATTCCAGTATATCATCATTAAAAAGAAAAGTGTGGAGTATTTCAAACACATTGGCAAGCATACAAATGACACAAACACTCATGTATCCACTACCTAACTTTATCAAACCTGAGGATTTTTATGCCATGTTTTTTTTCAGAATTTTTTTTTTTTTAAAGAAGTAAAACATTAAGGTACCATTGAGGTCCTTGTGTAAACCTCCCAGATCAATTTCTATTTCTTTCTTCTTTCTTGAAGAAAAACAATATCATAAATTCAGTGTGTAGCATTCCCATGCTTATATTATACTAGAGGCCCGGTGCACGAAATTCAGGCGGGGGGGAGGGGGGGTGGGGCAGGGTTGTCCCTCAGCCTGGCCTGCACCCTGTCCAATCTGGGACATCCCTCTCAAAATCCTTGACTGCTGGCTCCCAACCGCTTGCCTGCCTACCTGCCTGATTGTCCCTAACCACTTCTACCTGCCAGCCTGATCACCCCCTAACCACTCCCCTGCCAGCCTGATCAATGCCTAACTGCTCCCCTGCTGACCTGGTTCCCCCCAACTGCCCTCCCCTGCAGGCCCGGTCCCCCCCAACTGCCCTCCCCTGCCAGCCTGGTCATCCCTAACTGCCCTCCCCTGCCAGCCTGGTCATCCCTAACTGCCCTCCCCTGCTGGCCATCTTGTGGTGGCCATCTTGTGATGACATCACGGCAGCCATCTTGTGACCACATGGGGGCGGCCATCTTGTGTGAGGGTGTGATGGTCAATTTGCATATCACCTCTTTATTATATAGAATATTTGTACTACATATTTATATACTTGATACTTATACACTATTATCTTGCAGGATTTTGAGAAGTTCTGTGATTTCTGAATTTTCTTTAATTTCATTGTTGTTGAACCAATTTACTCCTTGCAGCTGGGGAGCATGCACACCATAAGGAACTGTGGTGTCTCATTAAGAGGGTATTAGAAACACGTGCTGCAGGATTTAAATTTTGGGGGATGATTGAGGGGGTCCTAGGAAGCAGGGTTTTGTTCCAAAATTGGTGCTGACAGGAATCAGGGACAATCGATGATTCTTTGCAGAAGAGTATCTTTGAAAATTTCCTTGCTATGTAGTCTGTCAAGTAGTTTATTTTCTTCTTCTCTTACTATAAACAGTGCTGCCCTGAATCTTTATTTTCTATGTCCCCTAGTATAGTGTAAGTGTTTTTTTTTTCCAGTTTTATTGAGATACTTGAGGCCCAGTGCACAAAATTCACGCATGGGGAGGGAGTCCCTCAGCCTGGCCTGCATCCTCTCCCAATCCGGGACCCCTTGGGGGATGTCCGACAGTCGGACATCCCTCTTGCAATCTGGGGCTGCTGGCTCCTAACTGCCTGCCTGCCTGCCTGCCTGATCACTCCTAAACTTTCTGCCTGCTTGCCTGATCACCCCTAACCACTCTGCCTGCCTGCCTGATCATCCCAACCACTCTGCCTGTCTGCCTGACTGCCCCTAACCACTCACCTGCCTGCCTGATCACCCCTAACCACTTTGCCTGCCTGCCTGATCACCCCTAAATGCTCGCCTGCCTGCCTGATCAACCCTAACTGCTTCTGCCTCAGCCCCTGCTGCTGCAGCTTCATCTGGAAGGATATCTGGAAGGATGTCTGGAATGACATCCAAAAGGTCAGGTTGTTTGGCTGTCCGGTCTAATTAGCATATTATGCTTATTATTATAGATAATTGGCACATAACATTATATTAGTTTAAGGTATTACAACATAATGATTGACATATCTGTACATTGTGAAATGATCACCACAGCACATTTAGTTATATCCATCAACTTACATGGTTACAATTTTTTTCTTGTGATGAGAAATTTTAAAGTCTACTCAACTTAGCAACTTTAAATATGCAATACAGTATTGCTAACTATAAACTCTATGCTATACATGAAATCCCCAGGACTTATTGATCTTGTAACTGAAAGTTTGTACTGTTTGTCCACAGGTTTTTAAACGTTATATAAATGGTAACCCATTCTAGCATCTTTTCGCATCATATTTTTTAGGCTGAACATAATGTTTTGCTAAGCATTACATTTTTTGTTGTTGTTAATCCTCACCTGAGGATATTTTTTCCATTGATTTTTTTAGATAGATTGGGAGAGAGGAAAATAGATACAGAGAGAGAAACATCAATGTGAGAGAAACATCCATTGATTGCCTCCCATACATACCCTGACTGGGGCCAGGGATCAAACCTGCAACAGAGGTATGTACCCTTGACTGGAATCGAACTTGCAGACCTTCTGTCCGCAGGCTAACGCTCTATTCACTGAGCCAAACTGGCTAGAGCCAGCATTACATTTTCTATATTTATCTCCATTGACTTATGCAGCGTCATTGTATTCATTTTTTACCACAAACACCATTCATAGATGTATCACTTCCTATCCATTGTTTTTTAATGAGCATCTTAAGTGCTTAGTACTTTTTTTCAATTTTTTTCCCAATAGTATCATGATGACTATTCTTTTATGTCTATTTGGGCACGTGTGCATGTGTCTCTAGTGTATTTACCTGGAGCTATGCACATTTTAACCTTTGAATGTGGCCAAATGCTTTCCACAGTGGTGTTACTATACTCCCTTTCCCCACCGTAGGATGAGAGTGCCCACTGCGGCATGTTCTCCCCTACACTTGATGTTCTTGTTGCTTGAGGTATGACTTCTCTCTGTCTAGAAAAAGCTGCTGTACCTTTCCTAGTACATTTATTTATTTTTATTGTATTGTATGGACACTGTGAACTGAATAAGTGATCATTCTAATTCAGATTCAAATTTGCAGCCAACGTCTAATAACACACAGACCCTTGGCACCTATTCCCGTGCTGTCTTTATGTTTTCTGACCCTTGTCTGTTCTCATTCTGACCTCCTCATTACTTAATTTTTCCCATTATGGCATGTGTACTTTTATAAGCCTCTCCAAATGCTTCTGGGGTGAAATCCCCTTCTCCAAGCAATGTCTTAGACAACTTTTGCTGAAGGACTCACACGGTGATGCACAACAGGAGTGCTAAGGTGCTTGCTGAATTACTAGAGCTGAGCCAGTTAGTGAGGTGGCAGTTTATAAGTAGTGTTAGTATGTTAAGACTCAAAGCCAAGATATTTCCTTAAGCAAAATGTTTCCTCCCAGGCCTCTTTTCTGTTGGGGATATGTGAGATTATGGGTTAAGCCACTGCTTCCCAAAGCGTACCCTATGGAATATTGGTTCCCAGGATATAATCCAGTGCTAACCTAAAATACAGGAAGAAAGAGGAAAAAAAGAGAGAGAAAGAAAACCATATTCTGGGCTCACATGTGGAAATATGAATTAACTAAAGTTATTCATGATTTTTACTGAAAAACTTCTTGGAGTCTTTAATATGCAAATGTATTCTGACTTCCCCAGAACAGGAGATATTAGTTTCCTGAACTCATTGGCCCCAGAGGCTGGTTTATGCAAATCCTGATGCTCCCCTGCTTCCCACTCCCCCAGTCTCCAACATCCCATTGGAAACCATCGTGATGGGAGAGGAATTAACCCTTCATTTCATATCCTTAGTCCAAGCATTGTGATTGAACTACCTAGATGGCTGGGTGACATGCAATGGGGTTAACAGAGCAACACATCCCTCACAAATCAGGATAGACGTGGAGGCACTGAGGATGCACCATTCCTCCCTTTGCCAGATGGTAACTGATGTGGATGGGTCTGTGGAAGAGGGCAATGTCTTAGGGGAGGGGCTGCAACTAATAGGGCTCAGCACCTAGGCCCGCGGTTCTCAACTTGTGGGTCGCGACCCCTTTGGCGGTAGAACAACCCTTTCACAGGGGTCGCCTAAGACCATCCTGCATATCAAATATTTACATTACAATTCATAACAGTAGCAACATTACAGTTATGAAGTAGCAACGAAAATAATTTTATGGTTGGGTCACAACATGAGGAACTGTATTTAAAGGGCAAGAAGGTTGAGAACCACTGACCTAGGCTCTCAACCCACTGACACCAACCCAACCAGCCCAGTCTTACCAATGTGTACCCAGCTTCATATCAGCCCTGCCTCAGAGGTCAAAGGGCACTTTCCTGGTTAGCCACATGTAAGGAGAATTAGGAGGCTAAGTTTTATAGGAAGAATGTTCTACAATGAAATAAGGACCTAAGGTTTCTTTTAACTTGAATTTAGATTTAGGAGGAAATAAAAGTTGCCAGGTTTATGTTTGCAAATATCCCTGTCAGGGAGGTTTTTTAAAATGCAATTGTGGATCTTTGTTACTAAAAGACAAAATTTCAGACAAACAAAATGTTAGTTACTGTTAGGCCTCATCTAACAATACAAACAGACCCCACTCACCCACGATGAGCCATAGGACTCAACTTTCCTTGCCAAGTGGGGATATTTTGAATTGTATTAATGAGATTCTCATTTTTCAACTTCTCCAGATTCAGTCCATGTGGGAGTTTATTATCTGGCACGTATGTGCTACTGTTATGTCTCCAAAGTTTGAATCAAACCAATTTTGTTTACAATTTAAATAGAGCAGGCCATGGACTTTGGAATCCATCCCCCAACAGGATCTCCTTAACATTCAGAAAGGAGGGGGCACATTCTATTCTGAAAACTCAGCAAGGTGGGTTATGGGGCCCTTTGGGACCATCAGTTCACGTGGGCACTTTAAGATCAAATAGATAACATCCAAAGGGATAGCAAGGTCCCAAGTCCAAATGACCTTATCTTCTTATCTTAAAAAGTAATAATAGTAATAAGCCAAAGACGTAAAGGAGGCAGGACTCTTTCTCCACTTCCTTTGCACCTGCAATGTCGTAGCCAAAGTCCCTAAATTATCTCCACAGGGACATGTTTTGCACCTTTCCAAACCTGTTGGCTATGGTACTTGAAGGAATCTGTGAGGGATATGGGGGATGTAGAAAAGATCCTAGCAGGTAGGACACCATCTCAAATGACCCAAGGTTTGTTCTTGTTCTCTGTGGCTCTATTCATTAAAACTATACAGGTGCCAACCTCTGGAGTATAGGATCTGCTTACGTAATGCTTTCAGGATTAGGCATCTTGCTTCAGCCCTTGCTACCAGAAGCAGCCTACCTTTTTTGCCAATGAATTTGAACTTGGAAAAGTACCTGCACTATGAAGCAAGACTTGCCTGGGGAGAATTAGGAAGAATGTGTCATGGCACCACACCCACTAAGCAAGCAGTAATTGAAGCACTACGCCAGTTGATACAGGTACATATTATGAATTACTAGGGAGAGAAACACATCATGCAATACTCCTAACCATTCATTGGCTCAAGACACAGAGATGGGAGGCCAGGTAGAGCAGCAAAGCCCCAGCCACTGCGTGGAAAATAAGATAAACGTTGCGACAGCAGTCTGATGAGCAATGGTAACTCATGATTCTCTGGGGCCTTTCCTCTTCCATGATCAGAGTACCTTACACAGGCTCTATCTAATTAATCCTCCTTGTGCCCTGTGAGGCGGCAAGGCCCATTATCCTCAATTTGGTAGATGTGGAAACAGAGACAGAGAGAGGTTAATTTACCTCTGGTGATTCAGTGACTCAACAGCAACACCAGAGGTGGCACCTGCTGCTCAAATTCTCAGATTGTTCCCTCCAAAATATGCTGAAACTTAGCTAAACGAAATGTTGTTTTCGTTAGCGTCATGTGTCACGCGGTTCTAGCTCTATCTCTGACATTTTATTTTTCATGTGAGCTTGAGCAAATTGCTTGTTCCCACTGAGTTTACCTGCAAAATGGGTATAACACTTGCCTTGCCTTTGGGCTCATGTGAAATGATGATTGTTTAATTCTTCTAAAAAACATGAAGTTTTTTAAACCAATGTTTCACTTTTTCCAATACATGTTATTTTTATACATAATATTTCTGACAATTGAGGAAAAAATGACTTCTACCTGCACTTTTAAAAATTAAAGAGTGATGAGCTTTGAAACCACTCTCTCTCTGCCCTCTTCTCTCTTACACACACACACACACACATACACACATTATATTTTTAGTCTTTACATGAAAAAAATTTAAATGGAAGAATGAACCTTACTTAGCAATTCACTCAGTGCCAGACACACAGTATCTGTTCATATTTATTGAATAGATAATGAATGGATTCACTTTGTGGATAATAAATTTAGTTGTTGAAATTACAGCTGTCAATGTGGAATAGCTAGATATTTGAGGAAACCAAGATAAAGTGCCTATAACAATAAGTGCTACTAGTTATGCGAATCAATATCAATCTATTCATTTCTATAAGGCACAGGAATATAATGCATTACTATCCACTGAACTTACTATACCCATTGTTATCTTTTGATCTTACTATAATAATAGGACAAAATTTGAAACATTGTCCTACAAATAATAAAGATAAAGATGTAGATTATGTTAAAGTCCCAAATCATGCAGTATTCCTGTCACCCTCAGGGGTTTATTCATTCATGGATTCATTTATTAATATAATTAATGATTACTTGCAATCTTGCAATGAGTCAAGCATTTTGCTAAGAACCATGTAAGGATTCCCCCCTCCCCCCCAAAAAAAATAGCTGATTTTTTAATCCAGTCTCTCAAAATGTGGAATTTTATTGAGTTAGTATCAATCTACAGATTCAGTCATATTAGAATTTAACTCTAGCCTACAGTCTCTCTGGGCCACAAAGATTAGAAAAAAATAAAATCCCTATTTATAGAAATTGGAGTCAGAAGTGTATTTGATCTTACCTGGTGATGGGCAGGAAACAGGACACCTCCCTTCAGAGAACAACCCAATCCTACAAGTGGAAAGCGCATGGGAGGGACAGGGACAGCCCTATGGGTTCCTGATAGAATGTTGTGAAATAACTTGAAAGGCTAGTTATATCATTTATAATTTTACTTATCTCTTTAAAGTGTAATAAAGAACAAAATATGCTAAAAATGACAAGGAGGATAAAATGACTTACTTTAGTAAAATATTACAAATATACTTCTGAAATTAATTTCTTTTTCCATATTTTCTTTATTTATATCTGGTTATTTAAATTATTTGTAGACAATGTTTCTGGACATGCTTGTCTCATTTTGTGCTCTTGTTATGGTGATAATTTTTGTGTGTGGTGTTTCACAAGGAGTCTTATCATTTGCCTGATCAGACGGCCTGCTACTTATTCTGCCAACGTGACTCTATATCCAAAAAGTTAAAAATATATAATCCCCAAATGAATCCCTTCATATTTTGAAAAGCCAGGTATTTCCTTTTAAGATTTATCATCTATGCCTTTAATGGGATAAAGACCAAATTACTTTTCACCTAGAAATACAAAAAACAAAACCTAGGCTGTGTTCTGACTTGCTTTTAAAAAAACAAAGAAACACATAAAAGTCTTCCAATTCTACCATAACTATAATGTTTGCAAATATTACCTTGGCAGCCTACAAAATATGCTTCCTGAGCCTAGTGATGTCAAATGGAAGTAGATTCATTACAGAAAAGACTGTGACATTTCTTTCTTTAATAATATCATAGAGACTAGCACTTCTGTAGATAGTGCCAGTGAGCAATGTGCTCCTGAATTTATTATGGAAGTGGGTAAAAATTCTGTGCTGGTGAAAAAGTGAAAGGGGTAAAGGAAGATGTTGGGAGAATGTGTATTCTGGACTGTCAGTGACTAAGAGATAGAGGAGTAAAGTGAGAGAGAGGAGTAGCAGGAGAGAAAATGAACAGGAAGTAGTAAATAAAGGAGGTAGTAAGGGGAAAGGAAAGAAAAAAGATAGAGAAATAGATGAACAGGGATATTAAGTAGATGAGATGAGAGGAGAGGAGAGGAGAGGAGAGGAGAGGAGGGAAGAAGAAAATAAGTGAAAACAAGAAGTGAACAAGGCAGAAGAGGGAGAAGGATGAGTGTAAGAAAGGTCATCCTTCCAAGAATCAACAAACTACAGCCAGAGAGCCAAACCCAACCTACTCACTTCTTTGTAAACAAAGTTTTATTGGAATACGACCAGGCCCCTTGATGTACATGTGGCCTATGACTGTTTTCCTGCTACAATGCCAGAGTTGGCTAATTGTGATGGAGACAGTTGATTGTATGTGATCCCAAACTTAAAATATTTACTTTCTGGCTCTTATGAAAAAGTTTGCAGTAAACCCAGTTGTTCTCAAACTTTAGCATGCAACAGAATTGCCTGGAGGGCTTATTAAAGATTGCTGTATCCCACCCCCCAGAGTTAAACATATCTGGAGTGGGATCTCAAATTTTCTTGTCTAATAAGTTCCCAGGTGATGCTGATGCTGTTGTCCAGGGACCACACTTTGAGAACCACTGCTCTAATCTTCACATTATATCGCTCTAAATTAGGGCTTCTGTGCAGAAAGGGAAAGGAATATCAAAGGTGTTCTCTCTATTAGGTAAACATAGATACATTGCTTGATATCACAGTTGTTTACAAAATATCTACTTAAAAAAAATCTTTAGAAATGGATCTTTTTGTAAAGCTGGTTTCATTCTTAATGAAAAGTAAATTTGATTTAGGTAAAACCTTAGGTGATTAAAGGTCTGTTCCTAAAACTGTTTTGTAGTCTGGTTTGATTCCTCTCCCTGAAGTAGCATTGGATTCTGTTAATGCCATTGCTTGTCTGTGTCACTAATGTCAACTGTATCCAGTTTATGTGGGGAACCTCTCCTCACCTATAGGGGGCTCCATAGACAACCTCACTGCCTCTACCTGGAGCCCCTAAGAAACTAAGCCGTAGATGATGGAATTTTGCTTCCCACCTACGCCACCTCTTAGATTATGCTGGAGTCTTCTGACTCTAATTTCCCATAAATTGCAAATTCTTCGATAGCTTTTCTCCTAGAGATGGGCATGAATGTTGTCCTAGGTGTGAGACCTTTGGCAATCATGATTCCAAGAACTTAATCCAGCCTAAACACCCATCTCAAGACCCTGAACAAAAATTTCCCCTGCAAGTAGAGCCATGGTTTGCACAGTTGTGATCTTTCTCTATTTGTATCCTTAAATCCGGGCTCTGGCTACGAATGTGGGCAACCACTTATTAGCCTTAACTTTGCATGATTCACACTTCATATATGGAAGTTTTGTAAGGGATAGAGAAATGTTTCTCTTTCTCTGCATCCTAGCATTAAAAATATAAAGAGAAACATAATTTGGGAACTTGAAAGTTCCAGAGACACCTTCAGAATAGGAGTTCAACTTAGAATTAGCAGCTCTTTAAAATGTGTGAAGGGCCCGGCTGGCATGACTCTGTGGTTGAGTATCGACCTATGAACCAGGAAGTCATGGTTCCATTCCTGGTTAGGCTACATGCCCAGGTTGTGTGTTCAGTCCCTAGTGTGGAGTGTGCAGGAGGCATCCAATCAATAATTCTCATCATTGATGCTTCTATCTCTCTCCCTTTCTCTCTGAAATCGATACAAATATATTTTTAAAAAATGTTTGATGGTTTCATTCCACCATTGTTCTGAGTGGTTACTCCCTTGCACACATAATTGAGATGGACAGAAGATAAAAAATCATTTTTTTACAAGAAAGCTACAGTAGAGTTTAATTTTAATTAATTTTGACTTGTTAGTTCTAGAGCATTTATAGATTTTGTGAAAAGTTGATGTGCATGAAAAAGTATATTATGGATATCAAAGAAGAATGAATGATGTAAATGTATGTTATATGCCTCGCATAGCATGTGGAATACAGTAGATGCTTAATAAATCAGTGCTAAAATTGCTGTAACAGGCCTCTTTATCTTAATGAGTGTATGTTTCTTGGTTAAGAAATCATGGTAAGTGTTTGCTTTGGCAGCACATATACTAAAATTGGAATGATACAGAGAAGATTAGCATGGCCCCTGTGCAAGGATGACATGCAAATTTGTGAAGCGTTCCATATTTTTTATGCTAAGCGAAATAAACCAGTCGGAGAAAGATAAATATCACATGATCTCATTCATATGTGGGATATAATGATCAACATAATTTGATGAACAAAAATAGATCCAGACACAGATGGCAGGGGAGGTGGCGGGGGCGAGGGGGCGGTTAGAGAACAACTAAAGGACTTGTATGCATGCATATTAGCATAACCAATGGGCACAGACACAGGGACGGTGGGAGCTTGCCCAGGGTGGGAATGGTTTTGAGGGGGTCAATTGGGGAAAAAGAAGACATATGTAAAACTTAAGACAATTAAAAAAATGATGGTAAAATACGTAGTGCAGGCAGTTCATGTTCTGTGTAGCACTGTGCTAACTAAAGCTTTGCGCACCTAAACCAATTCTTCATTTGCATAAACCCATTGTGACTGGTTAAATATCAATTATCTATAGAACTATGCAAAATGTATACTGTCTGTACTTGGTTTTTGTTTTTGTTGTTGTTGTTGTTTTTAAATCTTCATCCAGACTTGTTTTTTTAAAAAATCCTGTGATTTCCCAGTCCCTCTGGCCCAAGGGGACTATGATGACTCACTTTTTACCCACCTTGCTATGAAAATGGCTTTACTTTTTCTTAGTATAAAAAAAAAATGCCTGATAGTACTATCAACAATAAAAATACTTAAAAATGAAAAAAGAAATAATGCCTTGATGGCTGGCTGGAATAGCTTAGTGGCTGAGCCTCAACCTATGAACCAGGAGGTCCCAGTTCGATTTCTGGTCAGGGGACATGCCTGGGTTGTGGGCTTAATCCACAGTAGGGGGCATGCAGGAGGCAGCTGATCAGTGATTCTCTCTCATCATAGATATTTCTATCTCTCTCCCTCTCTCCCTTCCTCTCTGAAATCAATAAAAACATATTAAAAAATCCTGTGATAAATTTTTCTGTTGAGTAGGCATATATATACAACACACTAGTAGCCCAGTGCATGAAATTCGTGCACTGGGGTGGTGGGGGGGAGGAAAGGGGCCCCTCAGTCTGGCCTTCACCCTCTCCAATCTGAGACCCCTCAGGGAATGTCCAATTACCTGTTTGTGCCCACACTTTTAACAGATAACAGCTCCATTGTTGTTTCTTTCGTATGCTTAAAACCATTGGAATTAGTAGGTATTTAAAGTGTGTATACATTTTTGGGGGACACCCTGTATATCTCTAGTCAACAGTGAAAGAAACCAACAGCAGATTTGGAACCCCCAGTCAGGGAACCTCGCTCACTCCCCACATGTCTCCCCACTTCACTTTCCACCTTCGTGGGCAGCAGGAAAATCAACATTTTCTCTCATTAATTCAGAAAAGCACGTCCTGTCACCCACACGCTGCCTGACAGGAGTGCGCTAGGCCCCAAGCAAGCAGGGCTCAGTCAGGGCAGCCTTTGCTCATGGGTGCTGGCACCCAAAGTGCACATTCCTTCTCTACAGTCGCCCTGACTATCCCACTGTTTCACTGAGAGGACAGAATTCCTCTCCACCTCTGGGTTCTTGATCTTGAACACTGACCGAAGGCACCTCAGCGAGGGCCGCCCGCGTCCACCAGGTGTGTCTGTCTGCACCTGCACCTGCCTCAGCACCTGCATTAACCCCCCAGAGGTGATCTCGTAGCTGCACTGGCCTCCGTGGGAACAAGGCATCACCACTCCACCCTCTCACTGTCATCTCACAGGCGCCCACTCCCAGCACCCAGAACACCCAGACACTCTCCAAAGGATGTGAGCGCATCAGAGGGGATGTGTGCACATCCTGTGGGGGTGTTAGGTATGCCGGGTTGATGGAAGTGCGGTGGAGAGGCAGGGGGAACTTGTGCATGCCTTGGTTTGCAACTGTTGCAGGTGCGGG